ACCAGGGCCATAGATAGGCAAGCCTCTGTTCTCTGCATTGGTTGAAGCTCCTTCCCCTCCTCCTTCGAGGGGAGGGAGGGAATGAGCCAGAGCTTGCTTTCTGGCCAGGCTCCCTCAATTGCACAGGAGACAAAGGCAAGCCTTTCTTTCCATTCATTGGGTGAGGCTCCTCCCCTTTGCTTGACTACCTCAATTGCATGGAAGAAATAAAAAGCACTTTTAAGACCAACAAAGTTTTGTTCAAGGTATGAGCTTTTCTGTGCCTTGCTACAGTGTATGTGTATTTTGTTGGGCTCGTTATGCTGTGTGTGTGCGTGTGCGTGCGTGCATGCATGTGTGTGTGTAGGGCTCATTATGCTGTGGCTCTCCTAGGTGCAACTGGGTTTGCCTCCCCTTTATCATTGTATTCATGCCCTCATGATCTAGTCTTTCTCAGTAGGAAAGAAATGTGAACTATTTAGATGAGGAATAACAAGCCAATGAGGTGGATTAGGCTGAGAGTGTGTGTCCCTCCAGACCAGGTTCACCCAGCACATTTCCTTTGTAGACTGGGGTTTTGGAACCTAGACTTCCCAGGTAGCAGGCTAACACTAACCACTATACATGGCTGTCTCTCTATTCACACTGTAACGGCCTAGGTTACAGTGGGCTTCCTTAGGCTGGGGGGAGACTTCTCACTTTGGTCAATGGAGTGGGAGGAGAGGGGTAGTATCTATTCATTCTTCTGGGGCTACAGAGCAGGAAGAAAGAAACACCTGCCTGCCCACATTCTCCCCTGAATGTTTCCAAGCTTCCTTCAGGCAACAGGGCAGAGGTAGGCGGTGAGCCCCTCAGAACTCACACACACTCATAGAAGTTGCAGTTATTTTTCTGGGAAGACTATAGTTCTGTAGACAAATACATAACCCTCATTCTGTGTCATGATGCCTGTCAAACTCAGCCCTCGTTTGCCATGTGTTTGTTAACTGTCTGGCTCTGGTATCTGTGGCTCACTGTCCTGTTTCATTCTAGCTGGCAATTGGGGGGGGGAGTGGGGGGCAGATGTGGAGCTGCTTTGCTGAGAATTGTGCTGGCTTGTAACTGCGTCCATGTGGGGCCTCCTCATTGTGGGAAGTATGCATGCTTGCCCTCGAGTACCAGACACTGCTAGCTAATGTAACAATAGGCTTGCAGGTTCTGGGAGAGGGGTAGTGAAGCACCATAGATTTTGGCAGGCTGGATGTATGGGTGTGATTGGACTGGTCACTGGGGGGGGGTTGTTTGAATGATGTATAATATGAAAACTGGCACCAAGGGATATAGATTCGTCTTTATCTCTCAATCAGCAAATCACTGCCAAGAGAGTGTTGTTGGGATCAAGTTTCTTCAAGACTTGACAATGTCTTCACATGTTCTTTACCAGCGCACAAAGCAATTTATGTACAAAAGGTCACAATGCCCAGCCATTTCATGTTTCTCCCTGAGTCCTAGGCTCAGAGCACTGACTGTGAGATTTCTGAAATGAATGTCAATAAATCAAAAGTAGGTTTGCAGCTTACAGATACACACCTGAACAGCAATAATTCAGAGTAAGAGGTGTCAGTTATTAGAGATTGTTAAATAAACAAAATATTGCAAGAGTGTTAATGTTTTAAGCACCTTTTTATTTTAAGTTTTAAAAACTTTAATTGTGTTTGTTTGTGTCCTTTATAAAGTTTATATCTCCGCTACCTGGCATTACATTTTATGACACACACGGCCCGGCTTGACAAGGTCTCATTTATGTCAGGTCTGGCCCTCATAACAAATGAGTTCGACACCCCTGGTATAGAGGAAAAGTGGGAAAGAGGAGTGAGAGAGAATTGAACCAACATTGTGGTGGCAGCTACAGCTGAAACAACATTGTTTTAATCTGCCCAGCCAATCAGATCTCTAGTGGCCAATCAGAAGCCCTGCTGGGCAAGTGTGCCACATGGCCCCACCCACTTTTTAAAAACAGGAAAGGTGTCCATGGGTGTGCCATGTCACCCACAAGCACCACATTGGAGACCCAGCTCTAGGGGCTGCATAGCAATATGTTACATGTCTCTTTAGGAGCCAGTTTGGTGTAGTGGTTAAGAGCAATGGATTTTAATCTGGAGAACCAGGTGTGTTTCCCCTCTCCTCCTCCACAGGCAGCCAGCTGGGTGACCTTGGGTCCGTCACAGCTCTTTCAGAGCTGTTCTCTCAAGAGCAGTCCTTGAAAGAGCTCTCTCAGCCCCACCTACCCCACAGGATATCTGTTGCAGGGAGAGACGGGGAAGGAGATTGGAAGTTGCCCTGAGACTGTGAGGGCAGGGCAGGGCATAAATCCAAATCTCCTCCTCCTCCTCCTTCTCCTCCTCCTTCTCCTCCTCCTCCTCCTCCTCCTAGGTTTTTTTGGGTCTATACAGGGGAAAGTGGATTTCCTGTGATCTGATCCTAGAGGCACTTGTGTCTTGATTTTTTTAAGCAGGTCACCTAGATTCTAATCTGATATCCTAAACCAGGGGTGGTTGAAGTTTTCTTGAAAGTGAGCTCAGCTACTGCTGAGTAATGAAAACTATTCTGAGCTGCTCCCCTCCCCCCCCCAATATCCCCAAGCTCTGTTCTGTCCTAGACACCGGCAGGCCAGCCAAGTCTTCCACTCCAATGGGAGACCTTCCACGGGCAGCCTGATGCCCTCTGCCACTGCTTGCTGGGGACTGGCATCTCTCCCAATGTTGCAACTCCACTTCTGGAGTGAACCAGAAGTGCCATCAGTGTATTGGGGCAAGTGAAACAATAATCTCTGGTGTTGTCCTTGGCAATTCATGGCTTAGGAAGGGGGTAAAAACGTTTTTGGTGGAGAATCTGTTACTTCCAAGGGCAACCATGTTGGTCGGCAGCAGAACAGCTAAATTCGAGTCCTTAAAGACCAACAGGACTAGGGGCATATAAACTCTCCAAACTCTCAAAATCTTATAACCCCCCCCCCCCAATCCTGTTGGTCTCTAAGGTGCTACTAGACTGGAATCAACCTGCTAATGATTTTTGCTTTGAAAATGACATCTTAAATTTAATCAAACTGAACCCCCTTCTTGGTTTCATAAAAATGCAGAATTCAAGTTTCTCTGTCACAGCTTAACCTGAAGAGTTCTCAGAAAGAGGTGGTGTGAACCCAATTATGTTGACAACTATTTAATACCTGGTCATGCTGCTAGAACATTACAAGGGAGCCTTAGGAACGCTCCCTAAATTACCACATTAGGAGTGGATCCTCACATTTGTCCAGCACAGCCTGCCTTCAGAGCAGGAGACCAGCCCAGGGAACTTTCCTAGGGCACATTCACAACACAAAACTTTTGGAACAGGCACTTCTGAGCCTAAAGAAAAAAATTGGGATAGAAATACTCGAAATTAAATAGCATTTTTCATTTTTCCACAGATGAATGTAGGGAGATAATACATTTGCAAGACAAGGACAATAATCTTATAGTGCTATCCTAAGATGGTCTACTCAGAACACAACTCAGACCTATTTAATAGCGCTTACTCCCTGGAAAGTGTTCTTAGGATTGCACTAAGTGCAAAGTTGAAATAATAAATGTTTTGTTTCTTTTTATAGTAGTCTGTACTTTGTTTGTACTTTTGTTTCTTTCTATAGTTGTCTGTACTTATTTATTTATTATTTCAATTTATATACAGCCCTTGCCCCACAAAGTGGGGCTCAGGTTGCTCACGCTGAACCATAGTAGCAATGAGATGGGGCAGGTCGAGCATCATCTCCTTTATCTCTCTTCGCGTCTCCTCTTGTTGGGCTTGCAGCTGGCACTTCACCCATCCCAGCTGGTCATCACCCCCACCGCTATACCTCCCGAAGTCATGGCCACTCTCCTGGCAGGGAAGCTAATCATAGCGGATGATGCCCCTCGGCCAAGGGGTGGTCACCCACAACTCCCAAGTCTCAGTTGAGAAACAGGCCCAGGGTTTCCCTTAATCGAGTCTACCACTCGCACCGGTTGTGGTTGGGGTCTCATCCGTTATAGTGGGGACCTCTTCCGTAGTGGTAACTGGAACATCCCCGCCATCCTCTTCGCTCATGTTGAGGTATGGGGTCGGAGATTATAGGAGTTCTGACATTCTGTCAGAGTCCCACAGCAATGTCTCAACAATGTTCCTTCAGAAGGTTCAAGTTTATTGAGTACAGTAAAGGCAGGTCATCTGTGCATACATTCAGTGTCAGAACTAACCCTAAAGGCGGGAGAGGGGAAGATATACAGGATTCAAAGTGCGGTCCCCTGATGGATTTGAGCCAGTCAGGGAATTAACTGGAGTGCGCCTAAACTAACGGGTTCACATTCCCAGCAAAGCAGCTAGTGAAAGGTACCAAGGTCACAGGCCTGAGCCAAGAGATAAGACACTATTAGAAGAAATGAAAGTTAACATTCTAGCATAAGAAGAAACACATTCAACAGCCTCCTTCTTTCCTCCCACCTGCCATGGCAGCGTAGCTGACACAGTTTAGCCAGGGATCTTGGAGGGTTTTTTGCTTGGTTTGTTTTTGCTTGTTTTGGCCATCTTCTGGGCACGGAGCAGGGGTCACAGGGTGTGTGGGGGGATAGTTGTGAATTTCCTGCATTGTGTTGGGGGGTTGGACTAGATGTGGTCCCTTCCAACTCCATGTTTCTATGATTGGCCTCCTGCATTCTGCACAACTCGCAGTTTCCTGGTTGTCTTCCAGGGCAAACGCTGAGCACCCATATCTGTTGCTTATGGTCCCAGCTCATTTGTTTTATCCCCTTTTTACACCCAAATTGTGTCACTCTAAGGAAATAGAAAACGTCTTACAAATAAAGCGCACAGGTTTTAGTTTGGCAGTGGAGAATCCAGCTAAAACCAGGGAAGTTCACATTGAAATGGTGGGACATTATTTCAAGTTCTAGCTGAAGCATGTTGATGTTTGTTGTCCCCTTGAATTTAACATTCTTTTTTTTTTACCCCTCCCCTTTCTCCTTCCGTAGGAATTTCCCCTGGCGGTCACCAGAGGGCCTCACTGCCACTGTGGCTTCCCTACAGTTCATTTCCCACTGCACAGCAGCTCAGACAGGTCCCTCTGCAGAAGGCTGCAGAACATGAGCACCAAGGCTGAAATGCCCAGGGGGGAGGACTATGGCCTTGTCTATCAAACGCCAGTCCAAGGTAAGATGCACACACACACACCCATTCCCATATTACAAGTTTATCCTTATTATCCTTCCATTTGTATACCGCTCACCCCCTGAGGGCTTGATCGGTTTACATATTTAATCAGTACAAGTTCTAACCTAGGGCCACATACAAGGGGGGGGGGGTGACTAACCTACCAGGCACCCTTTGTAGTGAGTTGTTTTTCTGTTGTCTGCGGGCGATGTCCTCCTGGCGCTGGTCTTGATTTACGACTTCCTGGCTGTTGTGACACCTTCGAATCTGGGCCGAGCACACGTCCACGCATGCTCGCTGTCGGCCTCTGTCCATCAGGCTCCGGCCGGTCGCGTCATCCCACCTCTGTGTCTGTTGACCCAGCCTCCTCTCACTCGCCAGCCTCCGCCATGCTTCTCCGCTGCCGCCACTCGTCGCTCGCTCATGCCGCCGCCGCTGCTACATCACAAGGGACGGGTGCCCCCCCGCTCTAAGAGCAGATACCCAATTTGTCTATTTGCCCTTTAACAGGCTTTCGAGCCGCTGGGTGGGCGGGAGCTGGGACATAGGGCCGGAAGCTCACTCCAGCCGCGGTGGGGTTCGAACAGCCAAAGCTTCTCGGCCAGATGTAATGCAGGGTTCACTTACTGCCTGCACCACCACTCCCTGGCAGTTCAGTTGTAAGGTACCTTTTGCCCACCATAATAATCAGGGAGCAAAAGATTAGCTCTTCTATCTGATGTTTGACATATTTTATAATTCAAATTCTCTGTAAACTTGTCTTGGGGTATTTTGCTTTTCTTTTATGCCAATAAAGGGATTTGGATTTGGATATGAAAGTTAGCTTTCTCCAAACTGGCTGGTGTTGAGAACTGATTTAACCAGGAATCTGACAGTTTGTTAGAACTCTCCTGCACCACCAACGTGATGAGCAAAGAGGATGGGGAAATCCCTACAACTGCAGCGGACAGCACCGCACTAGAGCAACAGACCATGGGAGTGACAGTTGCAGAGCCCAATGACGGTTGCGGAGCCCAAAGGAGCTGAGGGTGGGGCACGGACCTGAGACTCATGGGCACCTCTCCCCTCCTGGGCTGAGCCCATCTGGCTGTTGACTCCCAACCCGAGATCCAATAGATTTGCAGGTGACAGCGCCCGATGGCGCTACGGGTGCTTGGTCCAGGAGGAACCAGAGCGCATCTGTGCTGTGGAGGACACTGAAGGTGAACGTCCCCGTAGGCAGTTCAGGGGGGAGGCTGAAGAGATAAGAAGAGAGATGCAAAACATAATGCTGGACATACCCGACATCATCATTGAGGCAATTCAGCAAGAGTTCCGGAATTGTGAATGGGCCCCTGATGGAACTGGGAGGGCACTGCCAGCCCCTCTGCAAGTACCCCCACTTCCTCCCCCAGCAACTCCGGGTGTTGCTGCTGGTCTGGCTGGGCCGAACAGATCACCTGCGCCCCCAGAAGCTCCGGAGCGGCCCCGCGATGCCCTGAAACTGACATTTGATGGCACTCCAGAGAAGCTGGCATTTTTCCTGTTGCAGGTGCACAAGTTCTTACACGATTGGGGCCACATTTTCACCACGAATGAGCACCATGTGGATATTATCGGGTCACGCCTCTGGGACCAGGTGGCCGACTGGTTCGTGGGCCTCCACAACATCCAGGGACTGGAACTCTGAGATGTAGTTGCCTTTATGTGGGCCCTCCGATGCCAATACGAAGACCGCCTGGAGTTAGAAAGAGCGTGCCCCCACTTGAGAGGTCTGCACCGGGGGAGCCACTTAGTGTGGGAGTACTCCGATGAATTAAAAACATATGCGCGAAGCTCCAGGGGTGGCCTGAAGAGGTCCTCATTGAATTTTATCAGGCCAGGCTGAAACACGCAATTCTAGATTGGGCAGTGGCCCAGGGCAACCTGCTGACATTGAACGGGTGGATCCAGGTGGCCTGTGAGGTGGAGAACTGCTCCAACCTATTGTGGATGTACCGGCTCCATGTCCCCGCAAGGGTGACAGTGATGGTGGTGGAGACAGCGACAGAACAACGAGGGGTAAGAACCAAGATGAGAGAAGCTATCAGAGACCAATGAATGCATCAGGGCCTATGCCTGAGATGTGGAGCCTCGGGGCACTTCAAAGCAAGCTGCCCCCTTGACAAGAACCCCAGAGATGGGAAGATGAATGAATGCAAGACTTCTGAGAAGAAACCTAAGCCACAAGAAGCTCAGATGAAACATCCCAAGTCGCTTTAAGCAGGAGAGCAATGAAAGCCTATTCGAATTGGCCCAGGGGGGAGTTAAAGGCAGTGTTGTGCTCATCCCCCTCTTTAATGCACACTCGGAAGTAGGCATTTCGGAGGTCTAGTTTGGAAAAGATTTTCCCTTTAGATGCTTCAGACAATAAGTTTTTAATGAGTGGCATGGGGAAAGCATTGGTAGATGACACCGCATTCAAACTTTGATAATCAGTGCACAACTGCAACCCCCTGTCCTTCTATTTCCGTAATAGCACCAGAGTGGCAAATGGGGAGGAAGCCGGTCTGATGGACCCTCTGGCTAAATTCTTGTCAATAAATTTATGGAGTTCATCATTCTCAGCCGGGCCCATCGTATAAATCCTGCCCATGGGTAATTTATGCCCGGCAATAACTTAATGCTACAGTCTGAAAGTCTATGGGGTGGGAGTTCACTTCTTCTTCTTCAAATACTTTAGCTAAGTCTTGATATTCTGGGGAAATGGAAACCAATTTTTCTCACACTAGGCACGCCTGAGGGGTTTCAGGCTCAGGTTTGGGGCCCCACTGTGGGTCCCAGGTGTGCGTTTTACACCACGGGGAGATGAATAGTACTTTCCCCTCATCCCAAAGAATGTAGGGATCATGGCTGTGTAGCCAGGGGCTTCCCAGCAGTAGCGGGAACTGCACCACCTGGGTGATCATGAATGAACAATCTTCCGAGTGATCCCCCCCCCCCAATCGTAATGGCACAGTCTCGAATTGACACGGTTCTTTCATTGAGGATCTGGGTGAATATTAAAGGCTCCGGCAACCACACCACCACGGCTTCTTTCCCGGAGACCAGGGATGGATTAATAAGGTCCCTCCCACACCCCAAGTAAATGAGGCTTTTTACCCTGATATGGGTCTCCATGTTCAGAGTCAAGAGAGTTACAATCATGAAAAAAGGGGGAGGGTAGCTGCTCACCACATTAGGAGCCTCCAGGATTGGGCCCTGCTGCTCCGCGTGGCTTACAGCAGACCCTGCCCGTTTCCCGCTGGCTCGGTGTCCTCCTCCTCATTGGTGTCATCCTCAACTTCGGGCAGGGCCACCAGGAGAGCCTTGGCAAATTTCGGCTTGCCCGATGATTTCTTCACGGGAGTCCCCCCGCACGTCTTGGGCGGCTCGGGTTTCCCCGGTTTCCCCTGGCCCAATCCACTGCAGTCAGTGGTGAAGTGTCCCCGATCCCCACACCGGAGGTACAACCCCTGCTTTAAGTGTTGGACTTGGAGTGTTTCGGGTGGTCTCACCTGTTTCCCCTTCTGCATCGGGACCAGGGTTTTTTCCCCTCCAGCTACTGCAATATCCAAGTGCAAGGTGTTCAGGCAGCCTTCTGTGCTCTCTGCCTCCTGCATCCACGCTGAAACCGATACCGGGTCCACGGAGCGGAAAACTGTTTTGCAGATTTTGGGGTTCAGCCCTACACGGTACAGCTCTGCCAGGACTTGGTCCGGCCAATTACGGAATTTGGCGGCATGGAGTTTAAAGACGGAGAAATATTTCCTCACCGAGCACTTGCCTTGTTTCAGGTTGCGGAAGAATGTTCTGGCCTTTGGGCCGGCATTCTGGTTCTTGAACTGAGCACACAATGCCCACAGAAAAGCGTCTACACTAATCAACTTCGGGGCCCATGAGTTGTGGAGGCCCACATATCATGTTGCTTCCACTCTACACAACCAAGCCACAATCACATCTACAGAGCTGCTGTGATCCGGGAACAGGTGGCCCCACTTCTCCACAATTTCACTATTCTGACTATAAAGTAAGACAAATCCTCCGGGTCTCTGGCAAACGTTGCCTTGATCAGGTCTTTGGGATGGTGGAGGACCTGGCCCCTGGGGCTTCCCGGTCGGGGCACTGGTGTGGGGGCACCCCCATTGGGGCTGGGTACCAGAGACCCTGGGGCCACCAGATGGCCTGGTACCGGCTGTGCTGGTGGTACTTGAGGTGGTCCCTGGGGGAGGGGAGGGCCAGAGCCTGTTGCTGTGCTTCCCAATCGGCTCGTAGCACCCAGATTACCATAACCAGGATGGCCAGGATCACCTCCTCGAAGTCTTGCACCATTTGGCGCTGAGCCTGTTCCACCTCTACCATCCGCTCGGCCAGACTGAGCTCTTCCTCCTCTGGAGACCAGTGTCCACGGCGCTCTTTCGTGTGGCCCGTCACCCATGCTTGGGTTGCCACTTCCGATGTCACCCCATAGAAACTTGACTCGCTCATCAGCCCGGCATCGCACTGGCTGTCTCTCCGAGGGACCTTGGTAAGGACATAGGTTTCCTCCATCGAATCCGGGTTCAGCTGGCCCCACCGTAAGGCCTCGGGTTGGTACAGCTGACCTTCCGGCTGCTGTGGGCCCTTTGGTGTAAAAAAGATGTGGGCTGACGACGACTTCGGGATCATCCCGATGCCCACGGTCGTTATTGGGGTCATCTGAGGTGGGGTAGTTGTCACCAATACCTTGGACTGGGTAGTAGGGGTCTCCCCCCCATCAGTGTGGGTACAGTTTTGTCCTCTTCCTTGCTCATCTTGACGTGAGAGGTGCGAACAATAAGGACGATAGGATTCCTAACAGAATGTCAGGACACACAGCCAAACAACGGAGCACACACTTCCAAGAAAGGTTTTGCTTTATTGTTAGTACTATGGTTGCAGTAACATGGTCACTGTTAGGAAGGTCGAGCAAGGAACAAGCATACAATGTTATAGCAGATTTAAGAGGTTCCCCCCCCCACCTG